CAAGGCAGACATCGTGAACCAGGGAAACTGAGCTGTTGTTTGGTCTCAGGAGGCCTGTTGGTGTAGTGATTATGAGTTGGGCTGCAAACCCCAATGTCGGCAGCCACTCCTGGGAGAAAGATGGGGCTTTCTATTCCCGTACAGTCTTGGACACTCACAGGGCCAGTTCTACCCTGCCCTGGTGGACCAGGGCCGCTGGGAGTCAACACAGACTTGATGGCAGTGAGTTTGGTTTGGTTTGGTTTTTTGTTTGGTCTTAAGAAGACTTCGGGGATAATTTTGGTTTAAGGTTTACAGATTTTGTCAGGGAAATCGTTTCAGAGGTTCATCCAACCTTCATGGCTCCAGGAAGTCTGGAATTCACGAAAATGTGCCATTTTTTTCTGCATTGTCTCCATGTTTTACAGAATTCTTGTGTATAATTTTTTCATCAAAAAGTGGTAGAATACATTTGAATTCCTTGCCCTATAGAAGTCGCTTTCGTAGCAAGTGGAGTCGTGCCCTCCTCAGTAGGGAGTATAAACAGATTCTGAGAGAAAGAATGGGCATTGCATTGAATACATATTCAATGTATGGCATTTAATATGTTGGCCAGTAATGTTGGTGTTCCGAGTCTGTTCTGACTCATTGCAACCTCATGCACAGTAGAAAGAATTGCTGCTGGGTGCTGCACCCATCTCACATCATTATGTGTGAACCCATTGTTGCAATCACTGTAGCATCCTCCTGTCGAGAGCCTGCTGGTGCTGCTTTTGCTGACCCTCTACCAAGCAAGATATCCTTCTCCAGGCATTGGCCCCTCCTGCTCTGATGTCCAAAGTATCTGAGATGACACCGTTCTCATTTCTAGGGAACATACTGGCTTTACTTCTTCCAAGACAGATGGGTGATTCCACCCCCCACCCACCAGTACAGGGTATACTGAATATTCTTCAACACGAGTAACGAAAACGCATGGATTCTTCTTTGGTCTTTATTCAGCTGTCGCGGGTTGGCCTAGGGAGACCTGGTGCTGTAGCCCTGGTGTTGCGTTGGGCTGCTAACCACGAGGTCAGGAGTTCAAAAATACTAGCAGCTCTAAGAGAGAAAGACGCGGCTTTCTACTCCAGTTAACTTGACAGTCTCCAAAACTCCCAAGGGCAGTTGTACCCCGTCTGATAGGTCAGGGTGAGCCAGAATTGACTCGATGGCAGTGAGAAAGTTGGGCAGTAAGAGGGGAGGGTTGGCCTAACACAAACAAACAAACAAAAATACCCAGTGCCCATTCAGGGGGCCATGTAATAGTGTCAATCTTTACAGAAGCAAACTGCCCCATTCCACACCGCCTGGCTGGTGCGTTCAAACCACCGACCTTTTGGTTAGTAGCCCAACGGGCTTCACCACCCAGGGCCCTAACACTTAACCCATTGTGATACAGGGCTCCTTAGGGTTGGTCTAGCTAACTATAAACTCATCCCAAATGCAAGCTTTGATCCTAAGTTCCCTCCATTGTTGGCATTCAGCACTCTGTCCCAGCGGATAGCTTCTTAGAGCCTTCTGCGATAGTGGGGAATCTTGGTGAGCCACTACCCACTTCAGGCTTTAAATCAAGCGATGGCGTAGTTTTGAAACAACTGTTAGATTATATAGTGTGCTTGACAGAACATGGAGTCGCTCCACAGGAGGACCAGATTTTCTTCAGTAGATGACGGCCAGCCAGGGTAAGCAGGGCCAAGGGCTGCAGAACGTGAACGCGCCTAAGGGAACCCTCGGGTGCCGAATGACGCGGGGCCCACAGCACACTGCGCAACTGAAAGCCGCAGCCACATACCGCCCCGCGTGAAGCCCTTCGCAATTTATACTGAGAGGCGCGCGAGTGCGCGCGCCCGGCCGCTCGAGAGCTGCCAAGGGGGCCAATGAGCGGGCGCGCTCTCCCCGCCGTCCTGGGATTGGTCAGACCGCGCCAGCCTCTCTGCCTAGCAGCGGGCGGGGCGCGCGGGGGGCGGGGCTGGGATAGGCGCGTTCGCTCCGCCAGAGTCCCGGGGGCGCGTGCGCGGTCTCGCGGAAGCCGCGGGGGCCGCTCTCGCGCGGTCTCAAGGTGGAGTCGCTGGCGGCAGGGACAGCGGCGACGGAGGAGCCTGGCGGCGGGGCGGGGGCGGGGACTAAGGTTTGTGAGGTGGGGAATCGGGAGTTTCGGGATTCTTTATCCAGCGTTCCCAGGGCCTCCGGAGGACTGTCGCTCCCGCAGCGTTCCGGAGCGGGCGGACCTGCGGCCGCCGCGGCGCCGAGGTGAGAGACGGACGGGGGCGCCGCTCCGATTGGAGATCTTAATCAACAGGT